AAAAGGCCCCTTTGTTGCCCCCCCCCCCCCCACACACACACATACCCCTGCATTGTCTAGGGACAATCAGTGTTTGTGTATTGCAGTCCCTGGTGACGTTCGATGACGTGGCGGTGTGTTTCTCAGAGGAGGAGTGGAAGGGGCTACAGGACCAGCAGAAGGATCTGTACTGCCAGGTGATGACGGACAATTACAAGAACCTGACCGCGCTGGGTGAGCCATTATCTGTCTAGGCGTAACATAAACATATGTATCATCATCTTTCCGGACCATGGTTCAGTATGGAGATCCAACCTTGGTGGGGGTGCCGTGTAACGTGTGCCAATCTCTCTGCAGGACTCTCAGAATCCCCCCCGGAGATTGTGCTGAAGATTGAGAGAGGAGAAGACCCCTGTGTGGACATTGGAGTGGAGGCTGCAGGTCAGTTCGGGGCCATGATTGCCAACGGTAATAAAATAATTAAGTACTAAGTCTAAACTATTAATGTGATTTAGCTCCTTCACGACCAACGACGTACAGTGCACGTCGCTGGCATCAGGACTCTGTTTAAACTTGGCTGTCGGCTCTACAGTAGAAGCGATTCTGGTGACTCAGCTGTCGCCAGATCGCTTCTACGGCCCAGTGAAGGCCCCCCCCCCCCCCCCCTCGCCCCCCCCCCGCGACCCGCAGGGGGGGGGGGGAGAGGAGGAAATGGACACACTCCAACTGGGGGCATGGCAGGGGTGTGTCCATTACCTATTTAAAATTGGGGGGATGGCTTCAGATCGCTTCTACAGGCCGGTAAAGTGCCCACCCCCCCGTGAGATGACCCCCGCCGTGTTTTCTGGGCTCCGTTGCCCCTCCTTCTTTGGTGTTGGCGGGGAGCTGGGGAGGAGATGGACGAACCTCCTTTCACGGATCCCCTCCCCGTTCTATGAGACCGGCAGCGACGCAGATGACATCACTTCCGGTCCCATAGCTGTCAGTGTCGGGCTCCTGAAGCCTGCAATCTGACCTTCAATAGCTTTGGAGTGTAAAGGTGAAACTAAGGGGGTCTTTTGGACCCCCAGCATCACCTTAAAGAGTACCTGTCACCACCATCTGCTATCACATGGGGGGCTTGTAAAAAAATAACAGTTTTTAAAATGAACATTAAATAAAAGAAATCTAAAAATAATGTCAACATTTTTTTTTTAAGGCCCCCGTCCTCGCGAGCACGCGCCTCTTAACGTAAACACGCGTCGGGTGCGCCTACGTATGAAAACGACTAACGCGCTACACATGATGGGTATTGTCGCACTCTCCGGAGTGAGAGCAATAATTCCAGGGGCAGTATTTTTGGATATCTCTAAACTGATGACCTGTGGGGGGCTTTTAAAGCGTCGTCTATGGACTTTTTGGGGGTAGTGAATTTTGTCCCCGTTTCACGACGCACACAGTTTTTAACCCGGGCATGTTGGGTATCTATTTACTTGTTGTAACCTCATCTTTTATAATGTATTAAAAAAAATGGGTATTATGTTGTGTTTTGGGGCATTTAAGTAAATATTTCACTAAATGTTGGGGTTTGATAAGGAGTTGCGCTAATATCGTGCAACATAAAAATTTGCAACTGCCGCCATTTTATTCTACAGGGTCTCGGCTTTCAGAAAAAATATAATGTGTGGGAGTTTTAAGTAGTGTAACATGGGTGCAAAAAATGAAAAAAAGGTCTCATTAATAAAGGGGTTAAAAGGAGATCCTAGAGGTGACCCCAGCGTGAAATATGTTCTGGAGCTCCTCAGGAATCCCAAAATCCCACGAGGTGTTCTATTGAACTGAGAAAGCGAAGCACCCCTCCCTTCTATAGCTTTCTTTTGGTCAGTAAAGCCAATCATCACTATGACAGACAAAGTGTGAGCTTTGAGCAGGCTGGAGTTAAATATATATACAGGTGTATAATAATCTGGCCACTCGGTGTATATAATAATCCGGCCACTCGGTGTATAGATACTGTGCTGGAGATGATACTATGCCTCTTTTGTCATATGAATAATCATTATATATATATTTGTGTTACTTATTTACAGTTCTGTCTGCTGCGGGTGACATGGTGGTAAAAAGACGCAGTGAAGGGTACCAGAGCAGATGGACTCATTGGAGGCGTACCAGTCAGCGGGCAGGGGTGAGGGTGGTCAGCAGGAGGTCCCTACGTCTGGTGAAGAAAGCCCCCAGGTCGGGGGAAGAGGAAACTCGCACAAAGAACTCACCCTTCAGAGAGAACGTTTCCGAAAGCCACTCCCATACCGGGGTCACTCAGGAGAGGGCTGTGCAGGATCGTAGTGCCGGGGAGAGAAGTGACCTGGATGGAGCCGGGCTCGGCCCCGGCAGTAAAAGCATGAAATCACTTTGTGAGACGGATGGCGTGGACCAGGAGTGCCGGGAGTTGCCGGGCAGCGCAGAGAAGGTGCACACTTGCGCCCAGTGCGGGGAGAGCTGGAGTCACCTCATCGACTTCTTATCCCACCAGATGGGGAGCTGCCAGGACCGGCCACACGGCTGCAACATCTGCGGCAAGACCTTCGTGAAGAAGCAACACCTGACGGCTCACCGGAAGACGCACACGGAAGATCGGCCGTACACCTGTAACCAGTGCGGGCGGAGCTTCCGGCAGAATTCCACTCTGACCACCCATCTGTGGAGTCACGCTGGGCACAAGCCCTTCCACTGTACCTGCTGCCCCAAGAGCTTCAGCCGCAAGACCGACCTGGTGGCGCACATGAGACGTCACACCGGGGAGCGCCCCTATCAGTGTCCCTACTGCTGGGATCGCTTCATCCGCAAAAAATCCCTGCAGCGCCACCTGCAGAAGCACGCCGGGGAGAATCTGAAAGCGGGGTGGGAGCAGAGCTTCCCCAGGTGGAGAGAGACCGCCAGCTGTGCGGAGAAGAACCCCAAAATCGAAGAGTGCCCAATAGAGACGCCGCCCACTCCTCCGCACCCTGATCCTCCAGTTGAGGTGAGTTAACCCTTCTGCACTCTAATTAGCACCCATTCCTACTGCTATAGTGCCGCAGTGTCTCCAGATGCAGCAGGGACCACCAGTTATGCTGGCCACACATTAATCGTCTGGGGGGGTTTTCTCCGTCAGTCACTGAGGGACACAGCACTGAACATTCCTAACCTGTGGGGTATACTGCCACTTAGAGGAGAACGGGACACTAAGCATAGGGAAAAAAGAGGGCCAGCTGCCACTAGGAGCTGTACCCCTATACCGATTGCACAACTCCGTTCAGCTGAGCGTCCTAAGGAGGTAAGACGCCCAGCTCTGTTGGATCGAGACTTTTTGAGTTGGATTGCTTTCATCAAGCTGCTGCTGATGGTTATTGGTGGATCTTTCCAGTGTTGTGTCTTCTGTATTGTAACAGCCCTGCACTTGACTTGGCCCCTGCGGTCACATACCTGGACAGTGCCAGACCAGAATTCCCTACGACAGTTGGCTTGCTCTGGATATTCAAGACCATTCCTTTTTAATTGCTTCCTTCAGAAGGGTCAGCTGGGAATGGACGCTGTGTACCATCAAGGGACAGACATTGAGCAATGATAGACTTTTTGTGCACTTACCATAGAGGAAGCTGTTTTTTGGTTTGCTTCATGTCCAGTCCTCCAGCCGTCTGTCCTTATGGCCTTGCCTCACATTCGGCCTAGTTAGATAACCGTTGTGCGGAACATAGAGCGGTCCCGCTGCCACAGGTGACCTCAGCCCATACTCTCCTAGTGGTTCTGGGGGCATTTAGCTGGTATACCCAGAAGGTACCAATGTATTTCGCAACCTGGGACCCCTATTTCCATGGGGTCATCCTCATTGAAATCTACTTCAGATCTGTTGAGTGCGGTGAAGGCCTCACAGGAACCTCCATGTCCACTCTAGGCTTTGTGTCTACTTCTGTTGAGATACCAGCACACTCTGCCAGCTGAGGTTCTAAATCACGTGTCAAACTCAAGGCCCGGGGGCCGAATCCGGCCCACCAGGCCATTTCCTAGACTTCTACTCTCAGATCTAGGTATTAAGTTATTACTAAAACCCGTGATAATGGAATGCAGAGGCAATTATGATAAAGTTAGATACATTTTTATAGTCTTACAGATACCTTTTAGGGCAACCATAATGTTGATGCGGCCCACTAATAAATTGAGTTTGACACCCCTGTTCTAAGTGAACTCTCCTGCATAGTCGGGACCTCCTAAATCAGACTGGGTCTGCGGCCCCGTTACTGTCCCAACAGTCTATTACTTCATGCATCACAGTCTCCTGCATTCTGATATGCAGGGGGTTGTTTCAGAACTTATCAATGAAGTACATACTACCCTGTACCTGCAGGATCAGCCGGCTGTTCTAGGCCTTGGTCCTTTTAGAGCTCCTACAGCTGCAAAGACTTGCCCACTGCACTAACAGAGGGTCATTTCTCTATGGCAGTGGTTCTCAACCTTTCTAGGGCCGGTTGGTAACATTTGCCAAGTTGTGGTGACCCCCAACCGTAAATGTAGGGATGCACCAATACTAGTATCTGTGTGGGCTCTCAGGTGGCTAGTGGGACTCTCTGTGGTGCCCAGTGGGACTCTCTGTGGTGCCCAGTGCGGCCTCTGTGGTGATCAAGCACTCACCTCCCCTCACTCCTGCCTGTCCCCTCTCTCTGATCCTCTCTGACCTGTGCTGCGTCAGCACCATCTAGGAGAACTGACACTGCTGCGCTAGGAGGATGCTGAGGAGCCTCTTACCTAGAGCAGCACAAGGCACGTGGGGACCCCCTCAACTTTGGGTCGCGACCCACAGGTTCAGAACCACTGCTCTATGGGGACTGCTGGAAACACCCTGAAAGTTCCTCAGCGTCCCACCTGAGAGTGTGTCAGAACTTTTTCTTTTGAGAGATCATTTATTAGTCTGTGTCCGTTCCCACTGTAGACACACGGGTGAATGGCAACTGCACTCATCCATTTATAATTAGCTTTTTAAGTAAGGCGCACATCTAAGGGCTCATTCACACCAGACGCTTCGCTAATCGCGCAGCGTCTGTTGTGCGTTTCCGCAGCACAGTGCAGATGCGCCGATCCCAGCATATCGCTCTGTACTTTTTTTTTTTTTTTTTTTAACTTTATTTGAATGTCACAAGTGACATTTCATTCAGTTCTACGGGCACAGCAAGGTGATAGGTGGTTGTACTGCGTCGCATCCTGATACTTTTTCCCATTGCAACGCGGTGGTGTGAACCAGCCCCATCGGCAACAAGCCAAACCACCTTGTGTTGCTTTGGGGCTGCGCTGGAAACAACGGCCAGCGCAGCCCCAACGCATGTGTGAATTGACCCGGACACAGTACAAAGACAAAAATGTTTGCGTTTGCCATTTGGTGTGAGGACACTGGGGGCTTCAGCTGCCATTGTGATGTGTGGGGGCTCCTGGTGTGTCCCTGTGCCTTTAAGGAGGAATGGTGCTAGTGAACCTGCACCCATTTCATCCTTTGCTATATATGCTCCAAGATGGCGGCTCTCATAGACTAGAGTCAGGACGGCACTATACAGAGGGGCCTTGACCAGGCAGTGCGGCTTCCATTTAGCAAAAGTTGAGCAACTAAAACCTCTGTTTTGAACCCCAATAGTTAGACAGTGGAATTTGCCTTTTAACAGGCTGGTGAGTCTGCTGGGAAATGTTTGTGCTTGTACTGTGTAAAGCCCTTTCCTGCGCCCCGGGAAAAATTATTATTAACCCTTGCAGTGGGGCCACCTCCGCACTGCAAGGATTAAAGGAGAACTATGAGGGGGGAGGGGGGGGTGCTTTTCACTCACCTCATAGTTCTAGCCGACCTGTGACAATGAGACTGTCACAGGTCGGCTCAGTAGATCGGGAGGTGAGGGAACACATACCGGCGTTCGCTCACCTCTCGATCCTGTCACGGCTCTCTGCCATGACAGGGGGAGGGGCTGGATTCCCCCCTCCCCGCTCCGATCCTCCAGCGCTGACTGGCGGAACGGACGGGGGAGGGGGCGGGTACAGCTGGCTCTGCCTCTAGATAGGCGGAGCCAGCTGTCACTCAGGCAGCTGGGTGGATCCAGACATAATTGTCGGGATCCGCTCCGCCTGCGGCGTCTCAGTATACCGTGAGCTGTAGCTTGCGGTATACTCAGCTTAGGGTGACGGGAGGACGCTAGTTTGTGTCCTCCCGTTACCCTAAGGAGAACTATGGGGAAAAGCCCTGACCTCATAGTTCTCCTTTAACTGCTTGTCTTGGTCTAGGGAGGCCGGCCGGCTGTGAGAGCGCTCCCTCCAGCCTGCCTCCTCCTCTGCTGCAGCAATGTCCCTCCGCATCCTCACGTTCTATACACAGTGTGTACAATGTGGTGATTTACGAGACCTTAGACTGCTGCAGTGGAGGGGGGAGAGAGGCTCGGAGATGCGGCTGTGTCCTCGTGATCAGATTCAGGCTGACGTTTTAATGGAGCTTTGTTCTTTTTCAGTTTTCCTTTAGATGGGGCTCTGAGCAGAAAGCAGAGGCCCAAAATGAAGATTGCCCCCTGCTGGCAGGTGAGGAATACGCAGACGTTGTGTCCACACAGGTGGTCAAATCCGAGGCGGAGGAGGAGAAGCCGCACCCCCCTGTTGCTACCTGTAATGATCAAGCCACACAGACTGAGGTACGCTCCCAGAATGCACTGCTCGCCGCGACCCGTGGTCTCTGTACTATTATCGTTGTTTAATATTTAATAAGCTTATACAGACACTCCTCGGTTTACGATGGGGTTATGTTCTGATAAACGCAGCGTAACGCGATCATACCGTACACCGAGGAGTGTACTGTACTGGCGCGGGGAGCAATAGCCAGACTGCTATTGGCTATTGCCGGCTGATTATTGAAACCCCGCCCACTAAGAGGAGGAGTGGACCTGAGAGAGAAAGTTCTTTCTCAGGTGCGCTCCTCTGCTCAGTGGGCGGGTTCAATAGCCAGCCTGCTATCGGCTATTGCAATTTGAAAAAGCCAATAGCAGCCTGCCTAGTGCTCCCGGCTGTTCACATTCATCTGCCGGCTACGGAAGCTAGCCAGGGGTGCATGGAGAAGAAGAGCGCCTCGGGGATGGTTGCTTGATAGTTACTATTGACTCTCAAACAACCAGAAACTAAAGTTATCCCCGTGGGTGCCGACTAACTGGGAGTTAAGGCTGTGACACACTGCACGCGAAGCCGTGCAGAGCGAAGCAAAGCTCTCCGGCACGGAGCATCGCGTGCAGTGTGTGAGCTGAGTGCCGTCAGATGATTGACTGCACCTTCAGCCAATCGGCTCGTCTGTAACAACCGGCCAGACGTCGCATCCCGTCGCGCCGGTTTATACGCGCGAGCCGATTGGCTGAAGTTGAAATTGTTCATCTCGGCACGCTCAGCTCTGCAAGCTGAGCTGCCGAGCAGAAAATTACATGACACACTGCTCGCAAAGGCAGCGCGCCACTGCTCCGCGCTGCTTCGCGTGCAGTGTGTCACGGCCTTTATTCTGCACCTGACCCTTGGCAACCCGAGGAACATCTGTAGTTTGTATTTTGTCTTTAGCTGGGGGAAGGGGGTCATATTTACTCATGTACTATCTGCTTAGAGCTGTTATACATTACTTGTGCTTTGCTGGGCTCCCTGCAATTCTAAAGGGAAGGGTCTGTCTGACTGAATACATTAGGGCTGCAACAACTAATCAATTATAATCGATGATGAGAATCGGCAACGATTCTCATCATCGATTAGTTGCTTTCAGATTAGTTGCAGTCGCCGCTCTGCTCCTCAGCTCCCCTACCCACTGGTGCTGGCTGCAGCGGTCGATGTCCTTTTCAATCCCAGCTCCTTTTCAGTTTCGGTCTGACAAATGTTGCTGCAGGAGGTGCGTTGCGTTGCCATTTATTCAATGCATCCCAAATGCACCTCCCGTCCACAGTGTGATTGCCCGCACTGGAATGCGCGGTACTGCAATGCCCTACGTTCCAGTGCAGTGTGATTGCAACCAATGTGCGTACCATTTTATCCTGAAGTAAACTTTATGTCTGTAACGCTGCCATTGTGTATTTTATTTTACGGTATTAATTTTTGTATTCTATCCGATTAATCAATGTTAATAATTGGCTAACTAATCGTTTATGAAAAGAATCGTTAGCTGCAGCCATGGAATACATTCTCTGCAGTCTCAAACAATGTTAAACAGCCACATTGTTCCCTGTAGGCAGAGACCATTTGGTTTTTGCCCAGATATTAGATCGCACGAGGGAGCTGAGTATTTTTTTTTCTTATGGATCTTTTTCCTTAAAGTGACCAAAACTCTTTCAAGCTTAACCCCAGGCAGAAATGTTTGAGAAGCTTTATAAATGGCATTGCTTACCTTCAACAAATGCCGTCTCCTTTTGTAACTCAGCGCCGCAGCCACTGTAGAATCACTTGTTGAATTCTGCATCATAAGCGCTCCGTGTCCCTTATCTCCCGTTTGTAGGACTTGAGGTGCCTGTGCTCCAGGCCCGTCATGCTCATACACGTCTGCCGTAATAGATGCAGGCAATGGAAGTGAGCACACAGGGGGGAATTTACCAAAACTGGAGCAGATTTGCACGGCAACCATTCGGCTTCTATCTCTCATTTTCAAATCTCAAATGAGCAAACTGAAGAGAGAAGCCGTTTGGTTGCCATGGGGAACTGCCCCAGATTTTGTCTGCTCCAGTTTTGATAAATTCCCCCCATAGTCTCGCAGCACTCACCCCTCCTTACACACCCATCCAGAACTCAATCCACATTTATGCCCATTGAGAAATATAATGATCAAATGTTTATGAATCAGGCTGATTGGTTCCCAATCGTAAGCAGGGGTCAGAGTTGCCAGTAAGAGTCGGGATTGATGTCCACCGCACAAGTGCCAACTGGTGGTTCTTAAGGCCTGGTTCACACCTAGGCGTATTGCATATGCGCGTCTGTCGCGCGTTTTTTTAGCGCGATTCGCGGTTAAAAAAATCGCGCGACAAACTCGCGTTTCCGAGGGCTACTTGGCTGTATCCCAATGGAAACGCGCAACAAAAACGGCCCAAAGTAGTACCTGTACCTTTTCAGGCGTGGGCCGTTTTGTAGCGCGTTAGGGACGGGCGGAAAATACGCCAAGGTGGGAACCAGACCCATTGAATACAATGGGATTTAGATGTTTGAGCGTTTTGTAGAGCGTTCGTCGAGCGTAGAACGCGCTACAAAACGTTCAGGTGTGAACGAGGCCTAAGGGGGTTGTTATGGGCATCATACGGGTTTAAGTTTATGTAAAGGTTGTGGGCAGGAAAATAAACAGCCTCCAGCCTAGGCAGCCTAGATCACATGATCTCTTGCTACCAATCATCAGACAGTCGATTGTTTTTAGTCAGGCAGACACTAGGGTTGCCACCTTTTCTTCACACTCCGAACACTCTAGCGACGCGCGAACATTTTTTCGGGACAACGAGTCGCTGCTTATTCATATGTAAATAGCGTCACCCACGGTTGAGAATATTTTTAGTGGGGGGTGAGTAGCCCCAATCTTAATTTTGGTTGCCCCTGTCTGCCTGACATCTTGTGTCCGGGTTTCTGCTGCCATGAAACCTGAACACAGCATTCAAAACCCGGACTGTCCAGGTGAATCACTGACAGGTGGCCACCCTATCCGACACTGATCAGCTAGTCATAAAGGAAGCAGAACCTATATAAGTATTGAGGGAACATGGCTGGCAGATATGGCAAGTTAACTCGTTATGGTTTATATGTGGCACCGTGGCGGTAGGCCTTATGCCATGCTGCCACATATGCATTCATCTGGTGTCGCTCAAGCATGCCCAATCACACGCTCCTGCACTGTGAATGCGCCGTCACCGACAGCTCCCAGTCATCTGGCAACGATTGGGTAGGACTGGCTCCTGATCATGTGACCACTGTGACAGCCAATCACAGTGATCACTTGATCAGGAAGCCCATGTAAGGCCTCGGGCATTTTGATCTCTTGAAGGATCGCCTCCTGGCAGCAGGAAGGGGTCAGGGCTTTTCCCCATAGTTCTCCTTAGGGTAACAGGAGGACACAAACTAGCGTCCTCCCGTCACCCTAGGCTCAGTATATAGGGAGCTGTAGCTCGCGGTATACAGAGACGCCGCAGCTGAAGGGGATCCCGACAATTATGTCGGGATCAGCCCAGCTGTGTGAGTGACAGCTGGCTCTACCTATCTAGAGGCAGAGCCAGCTGTACCCGCCCCCTCTCCGTCCGTTCCGCCAGTCAGCGCTGGAGGAGCAGGGAGAGGGATACGGCAACCCGCAGATAGGAGTCAGCCGTCCGTCCGTTTTTTTTTAACCGGCGGACGGCAAGAGGTTAAACAAAACTGAATCCGAACCAGTTATTTTCTTCAACAATGTGTCTGTTTCCATTTGTCTCATTCTTGCCGCATTTCTTTCTCCGTAGTGGCAGAACACAAGGCCGGGTCGCATTCAGCAGCAAGTGTTGCGGGAGTTGAGGCGCTGTCGCAAAAGCACGGCCCGGGCTCAGCACGAGAGGGACTGCATGAGGGCAGCGATGGACCACCTGATGCAGGAAATGAAGGAGCTGAAGGAGATGGTGGGCACTCTCTGCGCCGCCAACGCTTCATGCAGTGTCGGCGCTCCTGTACCCCAGCTCCCTGCTGTTCTGGCACAGAATCCCTGTTCACTGTGGAATCAGCCTTCCGAGGAACCGCAGTGTACAGAATCAGGCCGGGCTTCCCCAGAGAGCAGTTTACAGTGCGCCTACAAACCGCCTCTGGGTGCAGTTTCCGAGCAGAGTCACGGTCACGCCTCCTGGGTGTACCGGAATTCCCCCGACGAGGAAGACGATACGTTACCCACAACTACCATCAAACGAGAGGAGGAGCCAGAGCCGAGCCCTTCCCCCGAGTTTCCTTTTTATAGATACCCCCAGTACGCTTCCCTGCAGACCGGAGAGCGCCTACCCAACATCGCCATGCACCAGCTCAGCACAGAGAAGGAGTGGACGCTGTTGGCCCGCAGCGCCGGCAAGCCGGGCAGGTTCGCGGCTCTCGTCTTCCGCGCCCTCGTCCCCTTCGACATCTATAAGAGCTGGGTGAACCGCGTCAACCTGGACGGCTTGCGGGGCAGGAAGGGCATCCCGCTAAACGTCAAGCAACGCGTGATGATGATCGTGGAGCGGCACTTTAATCTGCGCAGGTGTGATCAAAGCGAGGTACGCAACAGACTGAACGAGCAGCTGCGCACCAGACGCAAGAGCGACAAACTTCCTCAGCCAGTGGTGCCATATTAGATCAACGTCCCAAAACCGTTCCCAACAATGGCAAAAAAAAAATGCCAGCAAGTCCCCTCCCCCTACAATCCGAGGTGGAGGCGCGAGCGTTGCGAGCACTTATCTCCTCCTCCTTTAATCACATGACTTTTTCATGAAAGCAATGAGAAGTCGTCTGCGTGTACTATGCAGCATCGACCAATCCCATAGCCGGAGACACCAGCGCTTGCCGGAGCCATTCTCCACTGAACATGAAAAAGCCGGATGCAGGTTTACTTCATATTGCGTGTGGACAGTTTTCAGTTGCAGATGGAGGATAACGTACTGAACAGGTGGAGCTGCACCAGCATGAAATGCTTTCCTATATCCAATACACGGACTTTGGTTGGGAGGCATTGTTCCGCACCAGTCATCTCCTCCTTATACTACATGGAGGCGCACGTGAGGGATGGCGCGTTCTTTTGGCTTCAGCTGCCATACTTCTCAAAGACTGATGGCCCCTCGACTGAGTGCATGTCTGGGGCCCCATCACACTGGATGCGGTGTCGTGTATATTTTGCAGCTGAGAACGTACGGACAGGAGAAAATCCATACCGCCTGTTCATGCTGATGTATCGCTATGTAACAAAAATCCTGCATGCTGCCTTCTGGGTGTGTCCACCTGCACTTTGCCGATCACATTGATTCAAGTAGAGACCATAAAAAATGCTGACCTGTGCTATAGACATTTTTATTCTGGTGTGAACGGGCCCCCGACGGGCTGCTTGCTGATGTAAACTCACTGTCTTCCCTCAGTAATCCAGTATGGAAGTCTTTGGGGCAATGGTTTTAATCCGTAGGGAGACCAAAACCTTCCATGTCCCAAGAATTAAAGGAGAACTATGAGGGGGGAGGGGTGCTTTTCACTCCTCCTCATAGTTCTAGCCGACCTGTGACAATGAGACTGTCACAGGTCGGCTCAGTAGATCGGGAAATGAGGGAACACATACCGGCGCTCGCTCACTTCTCGATCCTGTCACTGCAGAGAGCCGTGACGGGAGGGACTGGATTCCCCCCGCTCCGATCCTCCAGCGCTGACTGGCGGAACGGACGGGGGAGGGGGCGGGCACAGCTGGCTCTGCCTCTAGATAGGCAGAGCCAGCTGTCACTCACGCAGCTGAGTGGATCCAGACATAATTGTCGGGATCCGCTCCGGCTGCGGCGTCTCAGTATACCACGAGCTGTAGCTCTCTATATACTGAGCTTAGGGTGACGGGAGGACGCTAGTTTGTGTCCTCCCGTTACCCTTAGGAGAACTATGGGGAAAAGCCCTAACCCCATAGTTCTCCTTTAAAAAGAACATTGGTGTAGTGTATTGACATCTTTAAAGTGAACCCATCCTTTGCTCGTAGTAGACAGGCTTACTTCCAACATCCAAGTAAAAAGTTCAGGTGAGACTGGTCGGTTAGCGCACTCCCAGGGTGGTGTAGCGAATGGTGGCCAGTGTGCTGCTCCTATACTGATTGGACCGGGGGTGTCCAATTGTAAGACTGAACAGGAAAAAGAAGAGGGCAGGAGCGCAACATGTGCCAGGTGTGTGGATGGGGAGTGATGAGTAAATGAGGATGTGTATATGTGGGGTGGTGAAAGGGGACGTTGAGCACTTACATGTGATGGGGGGTGTGGTGATGGGACACTTCTGTTGGCGTGGTCGTGGAGTCACGTTTTGGGACTGGAAGGACGTCACAAGGTGTTGTCTTGGTCCTTGCAAGGAATCCCAGGTCGAAAACCAATGTGGAAGGAAGACAATGGCAAAGTTCAGAGTTTCCGCAGTAGTATGTATTGGAATGTGAATTCTCTACTCGGTTTGGTGTGTGGCGATGTCGGCGGCGATGGAGATCCTGTGGGGATTTGCAGGTGTAGAAGGGTTTCACGTCCTGATATGTGAGGTTGGCTGTTCAGGAGGCCTCCACCTCTTCTCCTCCCCCCCACCCCTCTGCCACCGATACCTGAACCTGAAGGACACACAGTCTTCCTTCCACATTGGTTTTCGACCTGGGACTGAGCAGCCGTTCAAAATATATTGCCTGGCACCGAGTGTTAGCTTGAGGAGGAGTGGGATGGGGCTATGCCCATGAGGGAGCTCCATCCATAAATGTATTGCTTACAGCTCCGTCACGTGCCCTGTAGAGGTGCCTGGACCAAAGTGACGTCACATTCTGGCTCGCGGCATCTCTACAGAGCGCGCAAGGGAGCTGTACAAGCAATGCACATATGGCTGGAGCCCCGTCAGCACCGCAGTCCACACTGGACCCCAAGCTAAGGATCCACTCCAGTTCTCGTAAATGCAAAATGTTTTGGACTGTGTATGTGTGTGTGAGAATGTCTGTGTATGTATGTCAGTGTTTTTGAGGGCCCATTCACACTAGTACAGTGTGTTAAACTGTACCACGCAATCGCACCTACCATGCATTAAGGTACCACGTGCTGCATTGCAGTGCGACTTGGGTTGCGACTTAATGTGGGTACTGAGGTTACACAGGTTGAGAACCACTGCTCTAGAGGACGTATATATGGGCTCTGTGTTTCCAGTCTAGTATGGACATCTCTAGAGCACGTATTTATGGGCTCTGTGTTTCCAGTCTAGTATGGACATCTCTAGAGCATGTATATATGGGCTCTGTGTTTCCAGTCCAGTATGGACATCTCAAGAGGACGTATGTATAGGCTCTGTGTTTCCAGTCTAGTATGGACATCTCTAGAGCACGTATTTATGGGCTCTGTGTTTCCAGTCTAGTATGGACATCTCTAGAGGACGTATATATGGGCTCTGTGTTTCCAGTCCAGTATGGACATCTCTAGAGCACGTATATATGGGCTCTGTGTTTACAGTCCAGTATGGACATCTCTAGAGCACGTATATATGGGCTCTGTGTTTACAGTCCAGTATGGACATCTCTAGAGGACGTATATATGGGCTCTGTGTTTCCAGTCTAGTATGGACATCTCTAGAGCACGTATATATGAGCTCTGTGTTTCCAGTCCAGTATGGACATCTCTAGAGCACGTATATATGGGCTCTGTGTTTCCAGTCTAGTATGGACATCTCTAGAGGATGTATATATGGGCTCTGTGTTTCCAGTCCAGTATGGACATCTCTAGAGGACGTATATATGGGCTCTGGTTTTTCAGTCCCGTATAGAAGTCTCTAGAGCAGCCTTTCTCAACCAAGGTTCTTTGGAACCCTGGGTTTCCTTCAGGGGTTCTGGTGACCACTGATACCAATGATCTTTTAAGCTATGTGTAAGGAGTATGTTTTCCACTAATCATCTATGTAGGGGACCATTTCACTGACCACCAATGTATGGAGGCACTTTTCCACTGAGCATCAATGTAAGTTAGAATATCTCTACTTTCCTCCAATGTCAATAGTTCTTTCATGTTAGAAAGGTTGAACAAGGCCGGTCTAGAAGTCCAGTATGGAAGTCTCAAAAGAAAGAGTGTATATGGGCTCTGTGTTTCCAGACCAGTATAGAAGTCTCTAGAGAAGCCTTTCTCAGCCAAGGTTCTTTGGGGCCCTGGGTTTCCTCCAGAGGTTGCTGGGGGTTCCTTGAGCAATTTCTGACTCTGAGATAAGTCACCAAAGTTACCGATGATCTTTTTAGCTATCTGTAGACAGCATTTTTCCTGCTGATCACAAACGTAAAGGAGAGCTTCTGCCGATGACCACCAATCTTAGGTGGGGGGAGCTTTTCCCACTGATCACCTATGTAAGGGAGCATTTCACTGACCACCAATATGAGGGCACTACACTGACCTCCATTGCATGGGGACACCTCCAATGTCAAGGTTTTCTTCATGGTAAAAAGGTTGAACAAGGTTAGTCTAGACCAGTGGTGGCGAACCTTGGCACCCCAGCGGTGCCGAAACTACAAATCCCAAGATGCATCTGCCTCTAGGAGTTATGTCTGTGGCTGTCAGAGCCTTGCAATGCCTCATGGGACTTGTAGTTCCAAAACAGCTAGAGTGCCGAGGTTCGCCATCACTGATCTAGACTCTACAGGAAACATATATTTACCCGGTTTTTCCCAGTCCACTACAAAAGTATATATGGGCTTCCTTTTTCCAGTCAAGCATGGAAGTCTCTAGAGCAGCCTTTCTCAACTAAGGTTGTTCGGGAGCCCTGGGTTTCCTCCAGAGGTTGTCAGGGGTTCCTTGAGCAATTTCCGACTCTGAGATAAGTGGCCACTGGTACCAATGATCTTTTTTGCTATCTGTAAGTGTGTTTCCTACTGATCATCAATGTACAGGAGTCCTTCTGCCACCCACCAATAATCCAATGGGGGCCTTCTACTGATCATCAATGTATAGGAGTCCTTCTGCCACCCACCAATAATCCAATGGGGGCCTTCTACTGATCATCAATGTACAGGAGTCCTTCTGCCACCCACAATTATCCAATGGGGGCCTTCTACTGATCATCAATGTACAGGAGTCCTTCTGCCACCCACAATTATCCAATGGGGGCCTTCTACTGATCATCAATGTACAGGAGTCCTTCTGCCACCCACCAATAATCCAATGGGGGCCTTCTACTGATCATCAATGTACAGGAGTCCTTCTGCCACCCACCAATAATCCAATGGGGGCCTTCTACTGATCATCAATGTACAGGAGTCCTTCTGCCACCCACCAATAATCCAATGGGGGCCTTCTACTGATCATCAATGTACAGGAGTCCTTCTGCCACCCACCAATAATCCAATGGGGGCCTTCTACTGATCATCAATGTACAGGAGTCCTTCTGCCACCCACCAATAATCCAATGGGGGCCTTCTACTGATCATCAATGTACAGGAGTCCTTCTGCCACCCACCAATAATCCAATGGGGGCCTTCTACTGATCATCAATGTACAGGAGTCCTTCTGCCACCCACCAATAATCCAATGGGGGCCTTCTACTGATCATCAATGTACAGGAGTCCTTCTGCCACCCACCAATAATCCAATGGGGGCCTTCTACTGATCATCAATGTACAGGA